CACAAAGGCTCCTGTAGCTGAGTAAGATGACTTTGTCAACAGGCTCCTCATAATCCAGTGACCTGTAGGAGACACCAAGCCCAAGGTTCCCTTAGTCTTTAATTCTTACCCATAAACTTTTGACTTGCTTGTGGCTGTTCTTCAGGGACAGCTCTTCACACTCTGTCTTGATGTGGAGGGCAGTGCTTCCCCCTCCCTCCTCACCCGTCTCTTCTCAACAGCCTGTAGCCGTTGATAGCTGCACTCCAGTCATGGACTTGCCTCCATTCAGTTATCAGGATCCCCCTCATACAGTGTTTTTTCTAGTTCCCGTTTCTGTCTCCTCCTCTCTCAGCCTCCCTCATGCTCCTTAACCTTCCTGCTTCATCTTGTAGCTCTGGCACCAGGCTGAGCAGGTCAGACACCTTGGTCACACTATAGGCAGCTGTTCTCTCCACTGCCACCCGTTACCAGTGGGAGGCTCTGGCACTCCCTGCAGCCTGGGACCTGGATGGCTGCCTGTTTTCTTGGGAGCTCTGGTTTTGCCACATCCATCCTGTTGAGTGCTAAGATCAGAGCATTCTGCCTCGATGTTCAAACAACACTATTAGGCATTAGTAGTGTAGCAAGTGAAGGGTGGTAGTGTTCCTGGCAGCTACTATGGAATAATGCCAAAGCATCTCTCTCCATGTGTAAGTTTAGTATGTATATTGGGAGAAGAGGGTTGGAGGGACAGCAGTGAAGAAAATGTTCCAGAAGTGAACAGTGAGTGGATGATAAACCACACAATGGTAGTGTGTTTGCATTCACAAAGAGTGTTTTTTAGGAGTGCCTGTAATAACACGAGATTACAAAATTCACTTGACTATGTCCTCTGCCTCAGAGCCCTTCCATCCTGCCTCAGGTCTTGTAACTGGCAGCGATAGTGACCAGTAAAGTTGTAAAACTCTCAAGTGGGTACTTGGAGAAGAAGAAAATCTCAACTCTTTGTTTTCAGTTTGAGATAATAATGGCAAGTATTTAAACCTGAAGAAATGATTTATTGGGAAGGATGAGTAGGATAAAGCAGTATTACATGATGGTTTATGTGTATGAATGGAAGATGGCAAATTAATTTGATTTCAGATAAATTTAAAAAACTGAGGTACTGTCAAGTATATAGTACATGTAATACAGTGGGGTTTTCTTATATTTGCTCAGCTTGTAAGCAATATTTCGAGAAGCACCCTGGAGAACGTAACCTTTTCTGGGAAGTGGAGGGAGCAGGACATTGGTTCCAGAAAAGGTCTATTCTGGCTGTGTGGCAAAAGGATAACGTCATAAATAAAGGTAAGGACGCTTTGTTTTGTTGTCTTCTGACACTTTGTAAAAGTTGAACAAACACCATACAAGTACAACAGTGACTTCTGTGAACACAGCGGGTGGAAACTGGCAGATTCTTATTTGTACTGAGATCAGTGAGATCATATTTAGAATGGGTAATTGTTATGTAAAGGTGCTAAAACTTTCAATTTCTGTTTGATATTTCTGTTTGATTTTTTTTTTTACATCTTACAGCAGAGGCTTCACAGAGAGAAAATAAAGCAAAGGATTGTTTTCAGCAGTCTGCAGCAGTAGCTGAAGCAAGTGGACAGAAAGCTGAGCTAGAAACAAAGCAAAGTGTAGGTACACAGACTGTTACTACCTCTCCTGCTGGCTTTGTTTTTAGAATTTATTACATCACTTGATTTGTTTCAAGTCTGTGCTATATATAAAGGACAAACACTTAAGTGATTTTTTGTGTGGATGTTAAGCTTCTCATTGATGTAACACCAATGACTAAGCTGGGGTTAAAAATGCTGCCTTGGGGTGAGGGAGGGGGTGGGTTTTCCCACTGACTGTAGAGGGTCTGTGTCATAGCTGTCAGTGTCTGTAATTCTGTAATTTGAACTGTTTGCTAGCACATTAGAGAAAGATAACATTTCAGCTGCCTCTGAGATTTAACTGTCTAGAAACTCTGTTGAACAGCCTAGTAATTTTAAGTGTAGACAGACTGAGGAAAAGCTTTTATAGAAGTGCATATTCACATCAAAGCTCAGTACAATGGAAGAATGTTTAGTTTGCATTGAGTTATACTTTGTCTACATAGGTTTAGAACTTTCTTTGTACATATTTGAAATATAAACCAGATTGCAGCTACATGTGGATATGTGTTCATGAATGTGTTTGTCTTTTAATTTTATGAAGCTGTTCCTCTCTCATTTCTGTTCTGCGGCCATGCAGAATATGCCTGAGAATAACTTGTAGCTCCAAATACATTGAATATGGATTTGTGTGCTTCAGGACTGTCTGTAGGATTGACATGACCGTGCTCTCACAGGAGTCAAAGCTGCAATTAAAAATGGGAGATAATAGCTGAATAGATGCTCTCAGATATCAATATCTAAACTTTAGTTTTGAAATGTAAGTAAAATTTTTCCCAGTTGAGAAAATCAGCATTTTGCAAAGCAAAACTGACAGCAAAAGAAGTGATGTTTTAGTCACTAAATGACCATAAACAAGAACTCTTTAGTTGTCTTTCATTTGTAATGAATTTGACCTTCATCACTGAGTTCTAGATCCAGTAATGATAATATCATCAAAATGATCTAAAAAATGCATGCGTTGATTGTAGAGCTAGCTATACACATATAACTGGAGAAAATAGTAAAAGGATAGTAATTCTTAGGACTTCTGTTGCTGTGAGCTAAGAACTCAAGCCCTGTCTCTTGCGTTCTTCCAGAAGAGGAAGATGGTAGATGCTAAAGTGCTCCAACTCCTCATAGCTTGGTAGAAATGATGACAGCTCTCTTCTTGGCACTTGCACTATCTACAAGCAGTTCAGTGCTTAGGAAACTGATAGACCACCAAACAAAATAAAATGGCCCACTTTCCCCAAACCAGGAAAAAACATTTTAATGTGTGTACCTTGTATCCATTTTGGAGTATCAAGTGCCTGACCACTGAGTCCTTACCTTACTTGCAGAAGAAAATGAAGTACTGGGATGGGGAGGAGGAACAAGAGACAAAAGAGCTCTGATATAAACAGCCTCTTCTGCTGACTGTGCATGTAATCTGCATTACTGCTGAATCACTATTGCCTTTTAACCCCAGCTGGCAGCTTCTGCCCCACACAGCCATTTGTTCCCTCCCCCACCATGGGATGGGTGAGAGAAGTGAAAGGGTGAAAGTGAGAAAACTCCTGTGTTGAGTTAAAGACAGTTTATATAGGTAAAGCAAAACAAGGAATTCATTCACCACTTCCTGTGCTCGTCTGTCTCCGGGAAAGGCAGACTCCATCATGCATTGTGATTACTTAGGAAGACAAATGCCACATCTCCGAATGCTCCTTCTTCCCCAGGCTTTATATCATAGAATAAGGTTGGAAAAGACTTCCAAGACCAAATCCAACCATCACCTGACATTAAAGCATGTCCTTAAGTATCTCATCTACATATTTTTTGAACACCTCCAGGGTTGGTGACTCCTGTTCCAATGCCTCGCTACTTTTTCAGTAAAGAAATTCTTCCTAATATCTAATCAAAACCTCCCCTGGAGCAACCTGAGTCCATTTCCTCTTATCCTATCATCAGTGTTATATTTTATTAGTGAAACCACGCCAATATTAATTTAGTAATTTTATTAAGCAAGCAACAATAGCGAAACCACACCAATATTAATTTAGTAATTTTATTAAGCAAGCAGCAATAAGTAAAACAGTGCTGGGCGGCCGGGGAGTTTCCTCACTCCACCAACGGCGCTCAACAACCCCCCCCAGAGTCTCTTATTATATACTCTTCTTTTTTCTGGTGTAACTTATCTCTTTCTTCCTTCTGCAGCTGCGCCAACTGTTGCTAGGGGGTCCTTTCTGCCTTCCAGTGGTCTTGAACGAGGGGGTTGTGTCATTCTTGGTGATTGTTTCATTACACACATGATCACCCAACCTAACCCAAATCCTTCCCCCTATTTTCATTGTTTACAACACAGAATAACTATAGGTTCAAAGCAAGCAAGCATGCGATTTCAAACAGACTGCTCTCACAGCAAATTCTGTTGGTTAATCTTTAAGCAGGCAAAATGAGTTTTAAAACAAACAAGAAAAGTAATTAAAAGAAAACAATTAAACAATCAAAGTTTGATTAACAAACTACAGGTTATCATTACAATGAGTAACCTGGAAGAAGAGACCAACATCCGCCTCACTACACTACAGCCTCCTTTCAGGCAGTCGTAGAGAGTTACAAGATCTCCCCTCAGCCTTCTCTTCTCCAGGTTAAACAAACCCAGTTACCTCAGTTGCTTCTCCTGAGACATGTTCCCCAGACCCTTCACCAGCTTTGTTGCCCTTCTCTGGACCTGCTCCAGCACCTCAGTATCCTTCTTATACTGTGGTGCCCAAAAGAGAACCCAGTAGTCAAGCTGGGGCCTCACCAGTGCTGAGTCCAGGGTCACAATCAGTTCCTTACTCCTGCTGATCACACTGTTTCTGATACAAACCAGGATACCATTGGCCTTCTTGGCCAGCTAGGCACACTGCTGGCTCCTGTTCAGCCAGCTGTCTACCAGCACCCACAGGTCCCTTTCTGCCTGGTAGCTTTCCAGCCACTCTTCCCTAAGCCTGGAGCATTGCCTGGGCTCTTAATCAAAGTGCAGGACCCAGCACTTGGTCTTATTAAACCTCATGCAACTGACTTCATCATGCTGAGCATGATGTCATATATTTTGAAATATCCCTTAGGCCAGTTTGGTCCAGCTGTCCCAGCTGTGTCTTCTCCCAGCTTCTTGTGCACCACCAGCCTACTCACTGGTGGGGTAGGACTATGAAGAAAGTTAACTCTATCCCATCCCAAACCAACTATCACTGAGTTTTTTTTTCATTTCTGTTCCCTTTCTTTACATGGGCTCTGTATTCTGTTACATGCCACTACAAAAATAAGACTCCCAGATAAAATACACATATGAAAAGAACACTTTCCTTTTAAATTTCATTGACTCTTGTAGTGTAAGCCATTTGTTTTATACAGAAAGAGGAAACAAGCAAAAAAAGACTTCTAGCATTTGATTATGTGGACAACTGTTATAAATGGAATGATTAGGAAAAAAAAACTTGGTAGTGTTTTTCACAATGACAGGTTACTATCTAATCTTCTGTTTTGAGGCCAGAGGTAAAAAGCAGAAAAAAACCCCCTTCCAATAAAGATAATTTACAAATCTACATTTTATCTCTCAACATATATTTGTTTAATGTATATGTTAAATTGTAAATATCTTAAATCAACATGTAAATAAGAATGGTTGTAACTACTCTTCAGTGGGATCGCTACTATGAATTAGCACTTTACAAAGATGCAACCACAGATAAGGAGATTAATTTGTTTTTTTAATAACTTCAGCTTTGCTTTTGCTTCACAGGCTGACTCTCAAAAAGGTAAAGAATCAATAGATACCCATGCAAGCACATCTGAAGGTAAAATTAATTTGATTATCAGTATTGTGATTACTGTGAGTTAATAGGTTATCCTCTTGTACTGCTTTCAGTCTGAGTGTATTCATCTGCAGAGTGTATAAAAACATGCCTTCCACTAAAGTGCTGAGGCTCAATTTGTAAACCTCTTAGAGGACTTCGAATAAAATTGTTATGAGTCTTGGTAAAGATAACGCATATGCATTCAGAAAAAAAAGTATCACAGTGAAATGCTGTTCTACTTGCAGTGAGTTTCTTTAATTAAATATTGGAGGGGAGGAAATTATATGCAGAACTTAGATGATGTTTGTTCATTTGCATTGAATTTGTTGTTTTGTTGTTTTTTTTTTCCCCCATAACATAGGTCCTGTTTCCGTTTGGACACGAAGCAGTCATTTAAAACGTCCCAGGATAGGAAAAAATAGCCAGGAATCTCAATCTGAAACTTCCCAAGGAGATGAGGAAAATACTCTTCATGTGTCAGAGAGCAGGTAAAGTAGCCCATATTTTACTGATTTCTCATTTTGTTGCTTGGGCAGTAACAAACTACATCAGTGTCTCACAGTGTGCTCGTTGGTATTTTTTCTCCTTTCTTCCTACCTTACTTGATTGTTTTTAAATTTACTAAAAATAATGCTTGGTGTGAGAGAGGAAATTGAGATATCACCTGCAGAGTGATTGCACCAAAATGTAGTGTCACTGAAAGCTCAGCAGATACTGGAAAGAACAATAAGAAGATAGTGAAGGCCGAGGGCAGTTCTGTTTTCACTGAGTCTGCGTGAAGGTGAAAAAAATGGCTATTTATGCAGCATGGTTTCTTGCAATATAATTGGATGTGTATCCCTGATGCTACGTGTGATCTTCGGAGATGTCCCTGACCTCTTGTTGTGGTGGCATATTACAGTAAAATAGTGTGACTATTCAGTTTGAGAGCTGGTTACTGCGTGTCACTTAGTAACAAGACATTTATAGGGAGCTGCCTATCTTCAAAGTAAAACCCTTTGTGTAGACAAATTCTGATTTAAAAGCATTCTGTCCAAACTTAGGTCCTGTTTAAAAAAAAAAAAAAAAAGTAATTTCCAGTTCAAAGAATGTTATGTTGTGTAATAATTCTCAGATGGGGATCTGAAAAATGGTGCCACATGTGTACCATAAGAATTCATATGAGACGGGGCCTGTACTGGTTTGCACTGACTCTCATCCAGAAAGCAGAACTGTGGCTATTTCAGATTAAGTAATTAGTTAATTTCTCGTTCCTTCTTCTTCCTGCGTGTGAGTGTTGTGTGTGCTCATAGACACAGACAGCACCCGTACAAACCCTCCATCTCTCTACTCTCATTCTCTTAAAAAAAAAAAAAAAAAAATACAACCCCAAAAACCTCTTTTGAAGAACTTAAGATAATATGGTTATTTTCTAGGAAACTTCTTATACTTGTTCCACTGGGTTTCTTTCAGTACTACTAGCTGGGCTTCATTTTTTTTTTTTTTTTTTTCCATATGAGGCTGAGTTCTACAGCTAGATACAGCCTAATTTTTCTCTTTAAGTTGTGGAACTACCAAGATGGAGCACTGCTGTCTTGCACTGCCAGCATGCTGCCCTGAGGTGGTTCAGACAAGCTAAATGGCGTGGTTTGAGACTGCTAGAGAAGGAGAAATTCTTTCCCCTGTTATAACTGACTAGTTAGTATGCAAGAGGGCTAGCCTGTTACTGAACATCAGTATTTTGGGCTTTGCAAAACGAAGTCAATGAGGTCCTACTTCTCCTTTGAACAAGGTACGTAATGTGGTATTTGTGAACAGAGCTAAGAGGAATCCTTATGGCAACAGAGCAAGACACCAGCTGATTCTCTCCCTCCAGGCACATTAGCAAATGCGGCAGGATCTTCTGTCAGAGGCCACCTCCTCTGGAGTCTTTGTCTCAAGTCTGGCACCTGAGAAAAAAGAACACTAATATTGTCTTTGCTATGAGGTTGTGAAGCAGCCTGCTGCAAATCTAGTGCATGTACTTTTTTCTTTGTTCATATGTAATACTTCCAGTTCACCTGGGTTTTACCATCTCAGAAATGAGACCTGAATTTTTGAGATGGTGTTACTACCCATCAGGTGAATCAGAGTTTTATCTTTAGAAATTGCTAATTTAGTCTCTAGCTGATTGAATCTAAGTCAGCCATGATGTGTTTACTGCCTTGCATTTTTTCCTGGCACAGTCTTGGTCATGTATATATATTCAACGATTATACAAACATACTTGCTTTTATAATTCCATAATTTTACACTGTTTCTGCAGCAGGGGTGGCAGAAGTTGCTTCCTTTCTTACCACTTTGTGGCTTCCAAATATCAAATGGATTACTGGTTTCTAAATTTAAAATTACAAACTTTAAAAAATTTCTGACTTATATTCCCATAAAATGGAAGTGAGATAGATGTCTTCATTTTATCATTTCCAAACCAATTTTTCCTAGCTGATGTTATTTTCCTAATGAGGACTTGGCCATTTTTAGATGTATTTAGTTTTCTGGATTCTTATTTCCTGTGCTGAGCATGTGATATGGTATTTTATAATTGGTCATAAAAGAATTTCCCTGCTGAAGTCACCAAAGGATATATCTTAATACCTGCTGCAGGCTGGAACTTCCTGCCCGCGCACCTGAAAGCTCTGAAGACTTAGCAGAGGTACCTGAGGAGAGTGCTGCCAAGGAGGATGAGGTCCTGGTTGCTGCAAACGAGGGCCAGTCTGTATCCGAAGCAGAGCTACATGTATCGCCCCCGGAGAAACGCAGTGAGAAGGAGGTGAGCCGGGTGCCAGCCGAGTGGTTTGGAATACACCTAGAGTTGCTGTTAAACGTGGTCCTTGCTGCCTTGACTGATGTGACTGTCAAGTGTTTGATTTTTGTACCAATGCTTTGTTGAGAAGTATATCCAAGATGCTAAGGCTAGTATAGAATTAGTTTCAGGAAATGTTCAAAATAAGTGTAATGGAATAATAGATTTCATAGGACCTTCAGTAAGGTGAATTTCTAGCTTGTCTGCCAACCTAATTTTCTTGATTTCTCCTACTCAGATATTCTGGAGAACTGGATTAAGGTCAAGATCTGATCCAGTATCTCTAGGGGTTTTTTTAAATTTCTTTGAAAAGGTAATACCTGGTATGCTTCAGTGACTACTGTTGGCTCGTTCTACTTCTCCACCTAAAGCTTGACTGCTTTGATGTTTAAATCCAGCTTTATTTAGAACTGGTTAACCACTTGAATTTAAATCTTTGATTACCCTTTGTGCCTAGTCATGCCTCCAGGTTTTTAAGTTCTCACTGGTGGGTGAGAAAGTGGAACTTGTATTACATTGTGTTCAAGGAATGACTGCAATGTGGATGCTTGTGAGATGCATAAAATCTGCACAGTTTGGCTCCTAACAATGTAAACTATGGTCAGAAATTTAGTGCAGGTGACATCACCAAGGTAATAAGCTGGTTAAGTTAACTACTCTGCACTAATTTCTTAGCACACATTTGTAGGTGTCTAAGCTATCTGCTTCTCAGTTTAAGCTAAAATTTAGATCACATGTGTACCCACTGGTGTTGGAGAACAACGGCTGGGCACAATCTTGACTTAGAAATGTAATTCTTTCTTTTTTTTTTTTTATAGGAAGCTCCGTTAGAACCTCTTAATGGTGAGGTAACAGAAGAAACTGGTAAGACCTCACTTGTGGTGGAAGAGGAAAGAGCAAATGAAGTTCTAAGTGGTGAATCAAAATTGCAGTCTGAGGGTCAAGGAGAAGAACCCGTAATGCTGTTTGTTCCCTTAATCCTTGAGTCCCAGGCAAAACCTTCAGAAGACACTGTATCAGAGAAGGTGAGAGAATTGAAAGAAAATGTGAAGTCATCTTCCTTCAGAGTGTACATAGCCTCTTGTTTTTTCTTTTGTTAAGTAACAGACAGAAAATAGTCACCACCATTGTAGGAAATTCTTGGGAGAACCAATTATTAGGCCAGATGATGTAAATCCATAAATAGAGTATACTAATGTTTCTGGTTTACTGTGCAGAATTGGGGCATGTATGCATGTGATACCAAAAAAAAAAAGACAAGGTAGCTCCAGTTTGCCGTGGCTCTAATGAAACAGCTCCTTGTCACTAAATTAGTAGTTGGATATGAGAGAAAAGCTACATCCTTGGTTTGTCTAGTAGTTCTGCCCTGGTAAATTGTATAAGCAATGAGTTACTGGTACAGTACTCTTGTAGAACGTGGATCTTACTGGTTTTTGTTTATAGTGCAAAAGCAGATTGCTACATGCTAGCAAAATGATAATTATATAGCTCTAAATAAAACCCTTTTTTTACCCCCTTGGGATTAACTTCAGAACATTTTTACTCTACCTGAATAATTATAGAATCATAGAATTACTATGGTTGCAAAAGACTTCTAGGATCATCAAGGCCAACCTTCCTCCCAACACTTCCCTAACCACTAGACCATAGCATCAAGTGCTACATCATCTCGTTTTTTGAACACCTCCAGGGATGATGACTCCACCACCTTCCTGGGCAGCCCATTCCAGTGTCTAACCACTCACTCAGTGAACAAATGCTTCCTAATGTCCAACAGAAACCTCCCCTGGTGCTACCTGAGGCCATTTCCTCTTGTCCTATCATCAGTAATTTGAGGGAAGAGACCAACACCAGCCTCACTACAACCTACAACCTCCTTTTAGGTAGCTGTAGAGAGCTATTAGGTCTCCTCTCAGTCTCCTCTTCTCCAGACTAAACAATCCCAGTTCCCTCAGCTGCTCCTCACAAGGCATGTTTTCCAGCCCTCTCACCAGCCTCATTGCCCTCATCTGGACCTGCTGCAGCACCTCCATGTCCTCCTTATCCTGTGGTGCCCAAATAATAATACTTGGAATAATTTTAATTTGAAGATAGGAGGGCCACTCCAGATATCAATTGCAGTTCACAAAACAGTATTGCACAAATAGGAAGGAAGAACTGGTTTGTTGACTACGTGTAGTATTAGAAACTGGTGGATGCCAGAATATTCTCTGACCTTGGTAGCTAGGTGCAGTCGTTGTTCAGCCTCTTCTTTCTTCAACTAATTGTCCCTTTGGTTGTTCTGCCACCTTTTCCCTTCCCCCACAGGCTTTAAATGCAAATGATTCAGAAGTGCTGTCTGAAGAAAGTACGTTGGTTGAGGAGGACACTGAAGAACATCAAGAATCTGAAAAGACCGTCAGTGAAAACGCAGCTGCTTCAGCATCGAAGGAGGAGCTCTCTGACAATGGCCTGCCCAACTCTACGGTGACTGAAGCAGCAGAAGAATCAGTTTCTGAAAACGTGTCACCCAAAACGGCCTCCTCACTGGAAGATCAAAATGAAGAAGCAGGGCACAACTCACAGGAGGCCCCTGTTGCCTTGAGTCAGAGCTCTTTGGTAGTGGTTGAACTTGCGGGTGTTTCTTTCCAGCAGCCTTCTGGACAGGAGGGGCAGAAGAACCAGCTGGAGGAACACTCAGAAGAGTCTGCTGAGCAGATGTATCAGTACACACAGGCAGCAGTGGAGCGGGCTGCTGACAGCAGCTCTGAGGAAGCAGAAATTGAGGTGCCCATTGTAGATCGGAGAAACTTGCGAAGAAAGGCCAAAGGCTACAAAGGTCCCCCCAAGAAAAAAGGAAAGCCAGCTTAAAAATGAAATGACGTTAGTTCATGTATTCATAAGGAAGTTTTAGTTTATGTAAAACACTAGAGTGTAACTAAACAATATGGGACACAGGACACATGTTTAAAATTTTGGGTTGGACTTTCTCCTAGGAAGGACTTCCTCTTTGTCACCTTTCCTCAAGTTTTCCTCAGTTTTTAACTACTAGAGATTGAGCTTCATCGGAGTCTGAAAGTAGACAGCCAGTCTCCTCCTTTTATAAAGGATACATGCTGAATAAGTACGGTTGTGGCAGCAAAGGGAGCGGTTTGCATATTAGAGGTGGCAGTTGTGGAAGGAAAATGCAGTGTGAAATCCTGGCCCTATCAAGGTCCCTTAAAGTTCCATAGACGTCCCTGAGGCCAGACCTTACTCTAGCATTTTTTTTTAATAACTTTGTGTTCTCTGCTGCGGAGAGAAGCAGAGAAAAACACCTTCCTTACTTCTTGTTCCCTTCCCATAGATTTTCTCAGATGAGATAGAAAGAATGTAAGATTCGGTAATTCTAGGTCTCAAAATACACAGGATGATGTAACTCAGTAGATCAAAGCAACATAGTCAGTGTCTGTCTCTTTAAGGAGCATCACCTGAAACGGCTGAATCAGCAGCAGCATGGTCAGCACAGTCTCTGCCATAGTGCGCTCTGATAATGGAGTTCTTCATGTGAAGACTAAGAGATGCCTACACAGTAAACTTATTTGTAGCTTCTGAAGTGAGCATCTCTGTAAACCTGAGTTTTTCCGGAGTGTAGGCTCCAGTACATACATGGAATTGTTTGAACGGCCTTCCTAACTACTTGCATGTGTTGAGTGGATATTTGATTACTTGTTACACTACAGGAAAAGGATTTGACAATTTTTGATCTCATTTTGGACTGAATGGAAGCAGTGCTTTGTGTTTTCCAAATACTTGGCTGGTGCTGTGGGGTAACTATTAAAATGTTGTGTGACTCCTGTGAGCACTGGCATTTCAGGTGATTGTGACTTTCATTACTGTGAATATTAGTGGATGTTTCAGCAAATGCTTGTTTGCCAAACTTCTATGCCTTTAGGAGTTAGCAGGGGATTGCTTGCAAATACGTCTGATTCCCACTTTCTTTTTCTAACTTGGCTATTATCCCTTGGATGATGGCCTCCCAGTTCACAGCTTTTCTTAAAAGTAGCAACCAAACTTTGCTGTATGGAAACAGAAATATAAAACAGACTTTTTGTGCATGTTTCCTTTCAAAGGTTCTGGCAAACCATATATTTAACTTGCCGTACATAAAATAAGTTACTCCTTAGTTTGCTATGTGTTTCTTCCAGTAAATGAAGCTCTTCTTGTAATGGGGATAAGAACAACGGTTCTAAGAAGAGGAAATCATGCCATTTTTTGTCCTGCTAAATGCCTTTTCTAAGATCAGTGACATAGTCTCCAACAGCGTCTCAAAAAGAGGGGTATCTAGAAAATGCTGTTTAGGACTTCTGAGTGCAAGGTTCACTTGAATAGTTGCAATGATGTCTTAACTTTTTATCACTCTAGGATGGTAATGTAAAAGTCTAGGTTGGATTCTATGCTTATATAGTTTAGCTGCATTTATAAGAGATTTTAACTGTATGAGATACATTCATACTGTTTCTTTCAGATGATGTATTACCATGCTTCTCTTTAATCTAGTAACAGCAGCTTATGGGGGGTGGGAGGAAGCCATTTTTAAGAAATGTGTATTACCTAAAGTTTAGATTCAAGGGCCATGGGATTACTGAATTGAATCTGGGTTTCTTGAACTATTGCACATAACTGTAACTTCCTATCCATGTACATACAGGCACTCCGTATGAAGCTATGAGTGGTAAATGTTCAATTTACTTCATGTGATTGTAAACATATTCAAGTGAACCTTAAGCATTCCAAAAACTAATCAAGCATTTTCTATAAAGCACATGAAATAAAAATTCTGTTATCTTCTGTATTTTTTACTGCTAAGATTTATTATGTGAAAAAAAAAAAAAAAAGACTGGCTAGAAAACATATCTATTCGTTGCTATGAATTGGGGATTTGTGAGGTCTGGTGGCTTAAAAAAAAGGGTGGTTGTATACATTATATTGTGACTCATCTTCTAGTTTGAGAGCAACTTTTACTAAAGATTAATCTGCTGAACACTTCAGTTGATAAAAAATGTACCCACCTACAAAAAGTGAAGTCTCGTAAGTTTTGCTTATGAAAAGTGATTCCCAATTGTTTCAATTATTTCTAGGTGGATCCGTTTGTTTATCACTTGTATTCCTTATGAACTCAGAAAACAGTGTTTGTGAGAAGGTAACGCCACTCATCTGGCATGTACTTTTCATGGCTAAGTTGGAACTGATTTTGATTAGTATCTTAAGACATTTGCATACTGAATACATATATATTAAAACAAGATTAATAGCTTAGTTCAGATTGAGAACAGTGAGATTTCTGATCCCATTTCAGTGAGTCAGCTCTAGATACTGAACTTAAATTCCCGTCTTTAAGCTACCTCTCTAAACCTGGAGTACCTGAGGTAGCAGCTGGTGACCAGACTGTTGGGTACCGAATGTGGGCAGCTGGGCTGCAGTTTAGCTACTCTGGTAACCAGTACAGTACAGACAACCTGGACGTGGTTCCAGTTGTGATCCCAGCAGTACTTGGGACTAAAGGGTGCTGTTCATAACAACAGTTTTGGCATCAATCATCTTGCAGTGAATATGGAGTAGCAAAGTCAAAACACTGACTTCAGATAACAGGGTTTTTTTCTGTACTGATTGTCCCACTGGAATGGTAGTTTGTCTGTACCTGCCGTTATGTTAATGCAAGGGAACATACCTGACAACTGTATTTACTGAAGTGTTTTACCTTGGGCAAACCAGTGGATTTTAGGCCCAGATAATTTTTTTTTTTTTTTGGTCTGTTAACTGTCTTACTACCATCAAGCTCACAAATAATTTTTAAGGTCTAATTGCACCAGCAACCAATGATTTAAGACATCAACTTTATACAAGTTTGTACCAAATGCTATTACAACATGCTGTGGAACTACATTTGTATAGTGAAAGCAAGCAGTATTATTATTGAGGTATATTTAGTCTAGGAATAGAGATTAAAGAACATTAATTTGTGACTTCAGTCTTGCACTTCAGTGGTAAATGGTTTTGTATTTGAATCCAACATTTGTTTAAATGTTTCTCTCATACTACTTGCTAATTTTTGACAGGATTTGCTTTGCTGCTCCCACATTCTCTTTTGGTGTGTTTTCATTTCATGCAGAACTCTGGTTTGCTCTTCTCAATGTTTCATAGCGTTTTACATGAAGATGTACACATGTCTTATTTCAAAAGTGCTTTTGACTTACTTGAAGTTGTCTGACCCTCGTTTGTTGCTTTTTGAATATCATTTCGGTTGTCAATGTCTGTAATCAGATTGATCATTTACTAGTCACCAACACTACTAAGTTAAATATAGCAACAAATAGACTTAAGTTTCAGCTTCTCTGCTTTAAGTCACCATGCTAAAATTTTGTTTCCAAGAGCATACACTTCTGAAGTTATTTTCACAGATGTAGTGTTAGATGTTTTCTAAAGTAGTGATACCCTATTTATAAATCTTATGAAAGATGTGTTGCTATTCTATAGTATTGTACTTAAGTCTTGTTACAGTGTTAGTTTTTCCTTTTACTCTCTTTAGTACTGTCTTGGCTGCTTTTGAAATGTTTTGAAGTAGTAATTAAACTTATATTTTGTGATTTTTTTTTTTTTCTTTTTTTTTTTAGTATTTGAGTCCTTTCTGCTGTACAGGAGGTACGTGTTAAAGTGGTTCAGTCCACTAGAAGTAGCATCATTTTACAATCTGTCTGCTTTCAGGGAGCTTTAAGAGCTCAAAGATTAACTGAAAAATCTTTAATTGATTAAAACAACTTCCTGTACTTAATTAGCGTACACACCAAACTTCTGTTTAAAAAAACCCTGTAGAATAAAGCTATTCTGAATGTTACAGCATCCATTCTGCTGTTTATACCCACTACGCAAGATGATGCAAACTTCACCATTGCTATAGACAAGCAAAGAGAAATACTGCAACACTCCCTGCAGGGTGATACACTAAAACATCCCGATGGCACCAGTTGTGTTCCTGGGCTAGTAAGTCAGAACAGCAGTGATGTTCTTGAGAAAAGCTGTAGGAAATTGAACTGTTCTGTTTGTGCTAGTTGTTAATGTGCAGTAAAGGGTAAAGCAAAAAGAAATTAAACGGAGGGTCGTCTGTTTTGACAAAGTGCCCTCTCTCCAAGCAAATGACTTAACTGGCTTGTGACCCTTTCATAATTTCAAATCACTTGTCACTACACAAAGAAGTAAAAATCACAGTAAGTTATTAAGTCTAGACTAGGGCAATGTGTTAAACTAACAAAATATCTGTAAGAGATGAAGACTGATTGGTTAAAGTGCTGCCTTTATCAGACAGTGTAAGAGAAGTTAGAAAGCTCATGCAAAAGCAGCTAGCTTGACATTCTGCTTCTGAAATACCTGAAGAGTTCTGTTTCAAAGCTGCCGTCTTACAATGCTGTGGTATAATGACTGAGTTCTCAGTTTTCAGAGAAGTA